AGCCTTTCGACTTGCGTGATTTCCGCGCCCCCCCCCCCCGGCTTGCTTCAGGCTCAGCCCCCCCCCCGTCCATGCAAGTAAACTTGCCAGAGTCTAAAAAAAACAGGCTCATCCCGTGACTGGGTCATGCGCGGCAGCACCACCGCCGCCGCCGCACAGGCTGGCCGCCGCCGCCACCAGCAGGCCCAGGCGCACCTGCCGCCTCCTGGCGGCTGGCGGCAGCAGCCTGACAGCCGCACCACGCACCCTGCCGACCACTGCCGCGAATTCCTTCGCGAGCCCGCGTCGGCGCCGAGGATGGTGCCCACCCACCTGCTCCAGCTGGGCAACCAACGTGCGAACGGAGGGGAGCACCGTGCCGATCGATGCCGTCGTCCCTTGTACCACTCCTGACCAGCTGCGAAGGGTGACGCCACCCGGGCGCGCTGCGGCGCGAAGCCCACAGACCACACCTGAATGGCAGGCACCCGCTGCGCGGCCTGCGCGCGCTGCTTCTGCAGCTTTCCATTAGGCTTGTCGATGCCGTCGAACTGTTTCTGCTCGACCGCCCTCCGCTTCTCTGCAGAGGCACTCTGCTGCGTGACCCTCTGCATACCAGCAACGGCGTGGCATCGAGCAGGCGCGCAAAACATTCCGCCAGCTCTCTCACCTTAGCCGCCCGCGGCTCGGAAACGGTCCCCGTGTTCTTGGGAAACTTGTCCAGGACTTCGACCTGGCTGCGGAGCTCCGCGATGCGAGCCGTGGCTTGCCCCACCGAACCGTCAACCGTCATGGACTCGACATCTGCATTGGCTGCCGCCGCAGCAGCCTTAGCACTAATGGCCACCGCGAGCTCAACTTCGAGACGCGCAATTTTACGGCCGAGCTCCTCACTGCGACGGCGGCATTCCCACACTCCTGCTCGAATGGAGACAACTGCCCTTGGGACCCTTGCACAACTGACAAACGGCAGCCGCATCGACATTCCACCATCTCTCCCCTTGCCGATCAGTCCAGCAGAAACGGCACAGCCACGACTTGGCACCGGCGTGGCGTTCATCCTGCTTGCGCCCCTCCATGGTTGCACCGGACGGACTGCTACGGACAAGACGATGGGCCACAAGAAGGCACTGGACCACGCCGTGGCGACTGAGAACGCTCACGTCGGCAGCGCGCAGCTCGACCGACGAGGCAAACACAAACGGTTCAGGCAAGCCACGGACCAGCAGTACCCACTTCACTGTCGGGGACACCCAAAACTTGAGCCAAAATGGCTGCGGACGAGGAGGAGGAGGAGGAGGACGACGACGACGAGGAAGAGGAGGAGGAGGAAGAGGAGAAGAAGGGGGAAGTGGAGGAGGGGGAAGTGGAGGAGGGGTAGACGGGGGACGTTGAGGAAAAAGAACAAGGGGGAGAGAGAGGAGAAGGACGAGGAGGAGGAGGACGAAGAGGAGGAGGAGGACGAGAAATGGGAGCAGGGCAATTCCGAACCCGACCTGTCCCAGATCTCAGCGCCTCGGCTGCGGAACCCGCGGGGGCAGCTGGGGCCTTTGGGTCGACGCCGTGCGGCAGCTGCGGCACCAGGGGCACCTGGGACCGGCGCGCGTCTCGCGAGGGGGCCCCGGGGCAGAAGGGGCCGCCCGCCCGGGAGGGGAGGAGCGCGCCAGGAACGGCAACGAGGGCGACGAGCGCAGGGGAATGGCGCGTCTCGCGGTGGGGGGGGGGGGCGGGCGGGCTCCGGGGGGGGGGGTCGGAGGCCTGGAAATTGGCACCAACACCAAGACAAGGGGTTGCCTCCACAGGGGGAAGGTGATCCTAGATGTTCGGTGTTGGTGGTAATAGTTCGGCCACCTTGGAAGCCAGAATATTACCACCGTCACCGAGATCGGGATCTCCCTCCCTCGGTGGAGGTGTCAATCTCTAGGCATGCGAGGGGGGGGATGGTCACGTCTGAGGCGAGAGTCCCGGGGTATCGGGGTGGACAGCACCCGTCTTCGCAGAACGCCTCTCCGTGATGAAAATTTCCGGGGCACTCCGCGTGCGCACGGCACCGCACTCCGCGTGCACCCCAGCGGGGTAGAGTCGGGGCGTTGACCTAATGAACCCTAAGCAAGGAACGAGGCCCCTTTTCCCATAGGTTAAGCAGCGATTTCCCATGGAAAACCTCAGCAAAACTCAAGGCAAACTGCAGAGCACTCAAGGAACACAGAGCCCCTCCCCAACGAAAAGGGTTCCTTCTTCAGCGCCCCGACTGTAGTTAATCCACATCTATACCACTTGAACTTATCCGGCGAAGCGCGCGTCGGTTAGCAAAACCGACCGGGCACTGCGCTGGCACTTTTTGGCCCGCGGGCGCAAGAGAAGTCAAACGCCAGTCGAGCAACGGGAGGGACACTCCGGAAACGAAAGGTCGCGGCGGGCAGAAAAGAGAAAAGCGGAAAAGCGAGAGCCGCGCTCAGAAAGTGAAGGTCTTCACGCGAGTGCCACAGGTGCGCAGGGACGTCGAGGAGCGAGTCCACGACACACAATGACAGGACGAGCTGGATGAGCAGAAAAGCGGAACCAGAGTCCGCAAAGACAGCGCCAGCACACTCGAATGCCAATGTCGAATGGGCTGCGCGGATTTCCTCAGTCGACTTGCCTGGAGGGGCGTTCTGTCAACGATGGGGGCCATCGGCTGGCGGCAGCACTTCAGACCAGACGCGCATCTACGGGCCGCCGCCGCCGCCGGGCGGGGAGGGAGGCCTCTTCCGGGAACGGCGAGCGCGACGAGGACGAGGACGAGGACGAGGACGAAGCCGACGACGAAGAAGACGACGACGAAGAAGACGACCGCGACGACGACGACGACGACGACGACGACGACGACGACGACCGCGGCGGCGGCGGCGGAGGCAAAGGACGAATACGACAACGACGACGACGACGGGCGACGGCGACCACGCGCTCCTTCATCCTCGTCCTTTCTCCCCCCCTCCCTCCTCCTCTGAAGGGGCCCAGGGACACCCAAATTGAGACACACAATCCCTGGATTCACCATATGTTCCCATATGTTCTGGGTTATCCCCCCCACTTCCCATATGTTCCCATCTTTTCCGGGAAATCGACGATTCATTGTTTGTGTTTTCCCCTCCTGATCCTCCTCCTCCTGGAGGGAGAACGAGAGGCAAATTGGGAGGGCTGGTAGATGGAGAAGTCCAACTGGCACTCCTCCCTGATCCCTGCTCCTTCTCCCCTCAATCTGCTCCTCCTCCACCTCCTCCTCCTCCTCCGCCTCCTCCTCCTCGTCCTCCTCCTCGTCCGCATTCTCCCCTCTCCTCCCTCCTCCCCGTCCTACCACAGGCCCGACCTATGCTTGCATTGTTGCAATATCTGCGGCTCGACGGCCGCCCAGAAGAGTCAAGGGACTCGCCCCACCCCGCACTCGCACACCCAACCTAATAGGGGCCACAATAACTTTTACGCATCCACAGCGGCCAGCACCACAGCGATGCGGGCATGTCCACGGCAGCCACGCATGCTGTCGGCGCGCTGCAAGCTGGCGTCAGGATGTCTGGCCAGGGCTCCACGGAGGGCACTCCTGTGGGCTCTTAGGGCCCCACTGCGAGACACTGCGCCTTTCCTTAATGTTTAATCCTCCCTTCTCAGCTTGCTCTACCATCCAGCCTCCTTCCTCTGGAAGCGGAGGAGAGGAGAGTTGAGGAGGAAAAGTTGGAGTAGAGAAGAAGCCAAGGAGGGGTAACTACCAGAGGGATGAACGGACAACAGCAACGACGACGTCGACGGCGTGACGGCGATGACGGCACTGGCGAAGATGTCGACGGCGGGCATGCCGACGAGAAGCGCCAGACGCCGCCGCCGCGTCATCGTCGTCGTCGTCGTCGTCGCCGCCGCCGCCGCCGCCACCGCCGTCGTCGTCGTCGTCGTCGCCACCGTCGTCGTCGTGGTCCTCGTCCTCGCCGTCCTTCTCCTCGTCCTCGTCGTGGTCCTCATCCTCGCCGTCGCCGTTGTCCTCGTCGTCGTGCTCCTCCTCCTCCTCCTCCTCCACCTCATCCTCCTCCTCCTCCTCATCCTCCTCCTCCTCCTCCTCCTCCCCCTCCTCCTCGTCGCTCGTCGCCGCAAAGGCGGCGACGAGCGCCGAGCCCCGGCGGCGGCGCCTGAGCGCCGCCCGGCAGCGGAGGCCACGCCGCGCCCTTGGGCGACGCTGCCGCCGCCGACGGCAGCGGCAGGGCGGGCGCGCGGGGGGCGGCGCCGACCTGCGGCGCGCGGCGGCCCCTCGGCGGCCCCCTCGGCGGGCCCCTCGGCGGGCCCCTCGGGCGGGCCCCCTCGGGCGGCCCCTCGGGCGGCCCTCGGCGGGCTCCTCCGACCGGCCCCTTGCCTTGTGCTGCTCCCAGCGTGCTTGAGGCAAGCAGGGCCCGGCGGGTGAAAACCCTCGAGTTTCGGTATTTTTTGGGGGTGGCTCGAACTTCTTTCTGGTGATCAAGGCTGAAGCAGGTTGGAACATCATAACCCGTGTCATAAAAAAGCCGGCTGTCATAAAAAGCAACGGGCTGTCATACAAAAACTACCAGCTATCACAAAAAGAAACAATGTGTTTTTTCGACAACCGGTTGTCTATGGCAGCCGGCCCCTCGGCGGCACGGTGAGGACCCCCATCAGAGGCCCCTCGGCGGCCCCTCTGCGGGCCCATCGGACCCGCCCTCTCGGGCGGCGCGGGCGCGCAGTGAGGTCGGGCGCCAGCCTGACGCCGCCGACGGCGCCGAGCGACGAACGTTCCGTGATGGGCGCAAAACATAAAAGCGCGCAGCCATGGACAGTAAGCCCGCCGCTGCTCACTCCAGAGCAGCGAGCCTGGGAAAGTGGGTGATGGCGTTGCTGGTGATCGTGGTGTGAGACCGTGTGGCAGAGGTGAAGACGGTGACGGTGAGGGTGAAGGCTTTTGCTCTCGTGCCATCCTCGCAGCGCCTTCTCGACGTCTTGCCATAGATCGCAAACGTACTACGCTCATGCGCCCTGATTTGCTGAATGTTCTGTAAACGCAAAACCGAGGAGCTACAAGAGCGACACCCGTTCACGGCGCGAGAACTCAGAACTCTTTGGGGCAGCTGCATCGCTACCCCCCGACGGCACCCCCCGACGCTGGAGCTCAGACAGCGGCTCCGTTCCTGTAGATAAAAACGGGGGCTGCAAGACCGAAGCCATGCCGAACAACTGGCCATGCCGAATTAATCGGCCCATGGCCCGTACCATGGCCCACGGCCCATGGCCCATGGCGTCGGCGGCCTATCCCGTACCATGGCCCATGGCCCATGCAAAATGGGCCATGGGCCATGCGTACTACAGCAAGCTTGCTCACTACAGCAATCCGCTGGCCCCCTTGTGGGGCCACTACTAGGCTGTAGGACGAAGCTGCTGCTCCCTGCACCAGTTGCAGAGTCAACTCTCCAACGTTACAATCCTGCCTTCTGCTTCCTACTGTAAATTGTTTCAGTCCATGCGAGGGGGGGGAGCCCCAAACCGCTCAACTTACCACGCCCGGATCGCGTTGCCTGAATTCCAGGGGGGGCGTGGGACATGCAAAAATACACAAGATTAGCGCCCCCGAGGCCATATTCCCTGGTAAGTTACACATATGTTCGCGGCCCCGAGGCCACAAACCTTCGTACATTACTCAATGATTGCGTCCCCGAAACAACAAACCTCCGTAATTTACATAATCTTCTCTTACCCGAAGACATAAACCGTGTGCGAATTACACAATAGTCGCATTGCCGAGACCAAGAGTGCTCCACGGCCCCCAAAAAACCCAAAGAGCGCTCCAAGAGGCTTCCGGAGAGAGCCTCAAGAGGCCAAAACCGTCGATATATCAAAGGTTTTTGAAGGACTTTGGCCTTCTCGCATTTTCAGCTTTTCGACGCTCCAAGACGGCTTAAAAAGCTCCCAAGGCCGCCCCAAGACAGCCCAAGACGCCTCCAAAAAGGCCCCAAGACGGCTCAAGAAGGCTCCAAGATGGCCCAAGAAGCGCTCAAGACAGCCCAAGAGGGCCCCAAGACGGCTCCAAGAGGGGCCCAAGCAGGGGGCCACGAACCGAACATTCGACCTCTGTGCCCCGGGAAACCTCCAGGAGGCCCCAAGAGGCCGCCAAGAGGCCGCAAGAGGCCGCAAGAGGCGCCCAAGACGCGCCTAAGAGGCCTCCAAGAGGCCCAAAGATATCCCACGAGGCCCCAAGAGGCCCCCAAGAGGCGCCCAAACCGCCTCCAAGAGGCCCCCGAGTGGCCCCCAACGACACCCCAACACATATACGACAGGCCTCAGACCCACAACCCAGGCACAGTGGCGGGATGGGCCGAAGGCCACTAGGATCCGCCGCCCCCTTTTGCTTCAGCAAAGGGGTGCCTTGCGTGCCAAACCCTATCGGTTTTGGTTTTGGTGTTTTTTTCCGAAAGAACTCTCCCAGTGGGTTTCGGCCCGTCCCGCCGGGGTCCCGGGATTTTTTCCATGGACCTCACTTCCACAATTTTCTGCCCCAGACGGCTCCAAGATGGCCTCCAACATGGCCAAGATGGCGCAAGATGGCCTCCAAGATGGTCCAAGATCGCCTCCAAGTCCGCCCAAGATGGTCCAAGGCGGCTGGCCCCAAGAGGGCCCCAAGACGGCCCAAGAGGCCTCCAACACGCCCAAGATGGCCTCCAAGACGCCCAAGATGGCCTCCAAGACGGCCCCGAAGCGCCCCAAGAGGGTCCCCCGTTGGCCCAAAAAGGCCCCCCAGACGGCTCCCGACGGCGTCAGACGTGCCAGGAACCCACCCAGATGGCCGAAGTTGGCTCGAAGCTGGCCCAAAAGGGCCCAAGAGGCCCCCACGAGGGCCTCCAGGAAGGCCAGAAGAGGCCAAAAATATGGATTCTCCTTAGGTTTTTGACGGATTGCGACATTTCCTCATTTTCGGCCTCCCGACGGCCCGAGACGGCCCAAGAGCCCCCAGAGATCGCCGAAAGATTGCCCACAAGGCCTCCAAGACGGCCAAGATGACCTTCAAGATGCCCACGTGTTCCCCGAAGGCTTTTCAAATCGAGTCGGGGAACACTCCAAGATGGCCTCCAAGATGGCCAAGATGGCCCAAGATGGCCTCCAAGATGGTCAAAGATGGCCTCCAAGTCCACCCAAGATGGTCCAAGACGGCCTCAGAGACGGCCCAAGAGAGTCCAAGACGGCCCAAGACGGCCCAAAAGGCCCCCCAGAGGCCTCCAAGAGGTTCCGGGATAGCCCGAAGAGGCCAAAATCATTGATTTTCCTTTGGTTTTTGAAGGATTTTGGAATTTGCTTCTTCTCGACATTCATTCCGACTGCTCAAGACGGCCCAAGAGGCCCCCAAGATCGCCCAAGAGGCCCCTGAGTGGGCCCCATGACGGCCCAAGTGGCCTCCAAGATGGCCCCGAGAGGGCCCCAAGAGGGCCCCAAGACGGCCCAAGAGGCCTCCAACACGCCCAAGATGGCCTCCAAGACTCCCAAGATGGCCTCCAAGACGGCCCCGAAGCGCCCCAAGAGGGCCCCCCGTTGGCCCAAAAAGGCCCCCCAGACGGCTCCCGACGGCGTCAGACGTGCCAGGAACCCACCAAGATGGCCGAAGTTGGCTCAAAGCTGGCCCAAAAGGGCCCAAGAGGCCCCCAAGAGGGCCTCCAGGAAGGCCAGAAGAGGCCAAACACATTGATTTTCCTTAGGTTTTTGACGGATTCTGACATTTCCTTATTTTCGGCCTTCCGACGGCCCGAGACGGCCCAAGAGCCCCCAGAGATCGCCGAAAGATCGCCCAAGAGGCCTCCAAGACGGCCAAGATGACCTTCAAGATGCCCACGTGTTCCCCGAAGGCTTTCCAAACCGAGTCGGGGAACACTCCAAGATGGCCTCCAAGATGGCCAAGATGGCCCAAGATGGCCTCCAAGATTGTCAAAGATGGCATCCAAGTCCACCCAAGATGGTCCAAGACGGCCTCCGAGACGGCCCAAGAGAGTCCAAGACGGCCCAAGACGGCCCAAGAGGCCCCCCAGAGGCCTCCCAGACCTCCAAGAGGTCCTCCAGGAGGGCCCGAAGAGGCCGAAATCATTTATGTTCCTTTGGTTTTTGAAGGATTTTGGAATTTGCTTCTTCTCGACATTCCGACTGCTCAAGACGGCCCAAGAGGCCCCCAAGATCGCCCAAGAGGCCCCTGAGTGGGCCCCATGACGGCCCAAGTGGCCTCCAAGATGGCCCCGAGAGGACCCCAAGAGGGCCCCAAGACGGCCCAAGAGGCCTCCAACACGCCCAAGATGGCCTCCAAGACTCCCAAGATGGTCTCCAAGACGGCCCCGAAGCGCCCCAAGAGGGCCCCAAGTCGGCCCAGAAAGGCCCTCAAGACGGCTCCCGACGGCGTCAGACGTGCCAGGAGCCCACCAAGATGGCCGAAGTTGGCTCGAAGCTGGCCCAAAAGGGCCCAAGAGGCCCCCAAGGGGGCCTCCAGGACGGCCAGAAGAGGCCAAAAACCTTGATGTCCCTAAGGTTTTTGACGGATTTTGGCATTGGCGTGTTTTCTGCCTTCCGACGGCCCGAGGCGGCCCAAGAGCCCCCAAAGATCGCCGAAAGATCGCCCAAGAGGCCTCCAAGATGGCCCCCCAGAACGGCCCAAGAGGGCCCCAAGACGGCCCCACGAGGCCCCCAAGACGGCACAGAAGGCCTTTAAGACGCTCAAGATGGCCTCCAAGACGGCCCTGGAACATTCCAAGAGGGCCCCCGTTGGCCCAGAAAGGCCACCCAAACGGCTTCCGACGGCGTCGGACGGGCCAGGGGCCCACCAAGACGGCCGAACATGGCCCTAAGATGGCCCAAGACGGTCCAAGAGGCCTCCAAGAGGGCCTCCAGAAGGCCCGAAAAGGCCCAAATCATTGATTCCCCATAGGTTTTTGAAGGATTGTGGCATTTGCTGTTTTTGTCTGCCTTCCGACTGCCCGAGACGGCCCAAGTGCCCCCAAAGATCGCCCAAGAGGCCCAAGACACTGCCCCAAAAGGCCCACAAGACGGTCCAAGAGGTCTCCAAGACGCTCAAGATGCCCTCCAAGACGGCCCAAGAGCCCTCCAAGACGTCCTCCAAGACGGCCCGAAATTGTCAAAATGGCCTCCAGGCGGCCAAGATGACCTTCAAGATGCCCACGTGTTCCCCGAAGGCTTTCCAAACCAATTCGGGGAACACATGGTCCGATAGCTTGGCAGGTCTGGCCTCAACGTTCGGCCACATAGGCGCTTCCAAAAAGGCAGGGGGCGGCGGTGATTCGCCGTAGGCGTCTTCGATCCGCCGCCCCCTGTCGATTCATCGCAGGGGTGCCTGGCGTGTTAGACCCTCTCGGTTTTGGTTTCGGTTATTTTTCCAAAAGAACTCCCCCTGGGGCTTCGGCCCGTACTGCCGGGGTCCCGGGAGGGACCTCAATTGCACAAAGTCGTGCTTCAAAAACGGCCGTTTCGCTTGGGACACCCTCAAAAAATCGCGCTCTGGAGGATTCCAGCCTAAGATGCCTTATGATACAAATCAGCGATTCCGTTTCGCTAGGGACATCCTTAAAACATTGAATGTTCTATATCATTGGTTCGAAGATCATGTCTGAAAGCTCTCGAGTGGCATCCGAGATAGTCCGAGAAGCCAGAATCTTGAACAAAAAACATGTTGTTTGACACGTTTGTTCGAAAATAAGCGTTTCGCTCGAGGCATCCTGCCAAAGTTGCCTCTGGGAACCCTCTCCCGAAGATGGCCCTAAGATGGCCCAAGACGGCCCAAGAGGCCTCCCAGAGGGCTTCCAGGAAGGCCCGAAAAGGCCAAAATCATTGATTTCCCATAGGTTTTTGAAGGATTGTGGCATTTGCTGATTTGTCGGCCTTCCCCCAAAGATCGCCCAAGAGGCCCAAGACTGCCCCAAAACGCCCACAAGACTGCCCAAGAGGCTTCCAAGACGCTCAATATAGCCTCCAAGACGGCCCAAGAGCCCTCCAAGACTTCCTCCAAGAAGGCCCGAAAGGGTCAACATGGCCTC